TCCTGCTCTGGCAGGGGGTTGGACTAGATGATCTTGCAAGGTCTCTTCCAACCCCCAGTATTCTGTGATTCTGTGAAAGAAGTCAAATCTGTATCCGCTGAAAAAACTTGAATCTTAAAGTCCTGAGCCTGTTTCCCCCTAAGCTGACATAGTCCTGCTGCTTGCTACCCTGACCGTTCCCAGAAATATCGCTCAGATGCTGCACAAACATTAGGATGTGCCAGCCAAAGAAACACCAGTGAACCGAACAGGAGACGAGGTAAGCTCGTCTTACCATGTACCCACAGCTAAATTCAAGGCACGACTTTGAAAGTAAAATACAGAATAAATATGACCACGGGCTCTGTAAGGGCTCCCAGAGATGCCTCCTGGTAGCTGAGGAGAGATGCTTTCATCTCATCACATGAACCGATTCCTTTTAAAGCACATCTGTCTTCTCAGAAAAGAGTCTAATTTTTACAAGAAGGGGACTGTAAAGACTCAAGGCAGAAGCAATATAATAATTCTATAGAAAGTAACCAGAGGATATTTGGTAAATTATCTGAGTAGCTTCTGAAGTGCCACCCCAAGAGCAAGACGGCTCTTGTTATGGTACTTCTTGAAATGTAAGTTTTTGCTGTGACAGCTACGCTGAAAAAAAGCCAGCACAGAACAGCCATACCTGGTGCGGGTATCACAGTTTCCAAATGCGTCTGATCAAGCTTCAGTTTATCTCCAGAATCAATCATCTTCACAACTGCCGTATATTTGTCAATCACTTCCTGTTGTGAAAGGCAGAGGCCAATCAGAAAAATCATGCAAATTTCTCTAAAGTTACACTTCAAAATTAACAAACTCATGACCACGAGTCTGCACTTCTACAGCTCCAAAAGTAGCAACGACTTCTGAGCTGTCCTAAAGGCATCCAGCTTTCACAAACACCTCACTGGCCCCACTCTCAAGTTAAGGCTAGATTAAAAATGCTCCTCTTGAACATCCGTGACTGGTCTAATTGACAGCTGGTTTTGTCAAGCTTGTCTGAAGGTTTTGTCAGCCTTTGGGTTGGCTGTCCTAGCTACTGTCTCCAAGATGGAGAGTAAATTAGATGCGTCTTTTCCCCCAAGGGAGACCAAGCTGACTGGAAGGCACACAGTGACAGGTAGGATGGTACCTCTCCATGAGGTGAACCGTTACTGATCATCTTTGTGCCCAGCACAAACCACATTCCACCTCTCATGCTCAGAGCTCAATGGAAGGCAGCCACCAGGACTGACAAACCCTCCCAGATGTCTGTCAAGAAAGGTGACTGTGAGCTCGAAACTCTCTTGATCATTCAGAATGCACCTGGGTGTTGTCTTTGGCACTCCCGCCAGAGGCTGCTGAGCCTTGGACTACTTGATGCAACACCATTTTGGCTGAGAGGGGATCGTATTAACATATACAAATACCTGAGGGGTGGGTGTCAAGAGGAAGGGGACAATCTCTTTTCAGTGGTGCCCAGCAACAGAACAAGGAATAATGGGTTTAAGTCAGAATGTAGGAAGTTCCACCTCAACATGAGGAGAAACTTCTTTACTGTGAGGGTGACAGAGCCCTGGCCCAGGCTGCCCAGAGAAGGTGTGGAGTCTCCTGCTCTGGAGACTTTCCAAACCCGCCTGGACATGTTCCTGTGTGGCTGCCCTGGGTGACCCTGCTCTGGCAGGGAGGCTGGACGAGATGATCTCTAGAGGTCCCTTCCAACACTGAACATTCTATGATTCTATGATTTCACTGGCAGTGGCTAAAAGAAAGCACTTCTGAGTAACAGAGCAAGGCTTAGGGCCTGAAGATTTTGTATGCAAATGAGATCTTGTCCAAAGGCAGCCTGCAGTTTAACTGTCAGTGGAGAAGTGACCAGTCTCGGATGAAAACACAGCTGGACTGCCCCTGGTCATGTCACATTGACAAAGTGACTCTTCTCCACAACAGATGTGTTAACAGGGACAAAATATGCAGGACAAAACTGCTTAAGAAAGGATCACTGAGTAAATGATATGAAACCAATTCAGGGATTCACCCCCTGCCCAGATCAAGTCCCGACACAGTTAAGGTGACACTTCAGGCCCCGTCAGTGTTGACCTAAGGGTGAAAAAAACCCCAAAACTTCAGAAGTTATCCGATTCCGCAAAAGCCTAACGCATGTCCCGTGCTTCCATTTGCATGCTCTACCTTAACAACTGCCTTCCTCTTGTGATACTTCTCTCCAAGCTTCTTTGTTATAATTTTTACAACGATTTCCTGGAAGATTTGAGAGGAGAAAAACAAAAAAAAAAATAAAATGCCAAAATACACAAACGACTACATAATCTAAACTAATTGCACAATCAAGTCACTCTGACTCCAACCACAGACGGGACAGCCCAGTGCAGGAAGCAATAACAGTAGAGACTCAGCTTTCAAGAACTTCTCTTTAGTCTCAACATACTGCCTCAAAAGAGTATCTCTCAAGACTTTTTTTTCCCCTCCCAGAAATACAGTTACATTAAACTCAGGACATGATGTGACAGCCCACAGCGGGTGAAGGGCAGGACTTCTTGACCTAGAAGGCCATTCAAAAAGGAGAAGCTGAGACGAGGTCTCTCAGCTCAAAGGCTGATGCTGGCTTCTGTCTCTGTGCAAGTCACCTACTGTGTAGAAAGAGGAGGGCTGTAATACCATGATTTAAACACAGTCTGTAGAGACTCTCAATACTAACTCTTTACTTAGAGAATTCCACCCAGGCATACAATGCGTCAGACTGCAAATCATGCTCAACCAGAAGAGTAATTCCTCCCAGATACTGTAATTTTTCACATCTGGCAACTTGGAAAATAAGAGTGATTTTAGTTTGGAATCTGCTTTTGCGTCTTTACACACATCAATAGCAGCTTCAGAGATGCTGAGTTGCTTGTATTTGGTATAATAAGAATTTCTAAGACACTTACAGGTTGCAACCAGTAGTCTCTTCGAGCTGTTCTTTTCTTCTCCTCTTCAAGCTACAGAAAAACAACAAATAATCACCGTTTACTTTTTCCTTTCATTGCAGCTTTCCCATGCCTTTAAAAAGCTGAACCAGGCCCACAGCAAGTGGGAAATAAAATTTAGACAAAAAAACCCCAAAAAACAGAACCCCACAACTAAATAAGGGTGAGTCAGTGTGTGCTTGCTGCATAAAAACCAATCTGATAAGATCCAGGAATCCATGATGGAGATTTGTATTAGCTTTTGTCAAATGTTTCCAAATGTTTTCTTCTGTTCAAAATCTGTATTCCTTTACTTCCAAAGTCTCAGTGGTCTAGAGGATAGGCAGAGATGGGCAGCAGACACCAGTTTTAATGGGGAAGTGAAATCATATTTTGCGTGATAACACATGAAAAGTCTGAATTCCACATGAACTGAAGGTCTGAGGTCCCTTCGAAGGGACACCCTGGTAAAGTGGCCATTGCCACAGGCATGAGGTTATACAGACACAGATCCTGCATGATCATTACCTCCATAATCTCATCCAGTGCAGATTTCTTCTTTTTCTCTTTGGGCTGGCCTGAGCTATGAGCTGGTTCTTTTCTTTTAACTGCCCCTTCCACCATCTTCAGTGCGTTTGGTCCAAGGACACTGCTGGAAGAGTGAGATGGTGTTTTCACAGCAGACCTTACATCGTTTCCTCTACCGAGAAGCATCTGAAGAACGGGTTGTGCAAGGCCCGCTGATCTATTTAATTTCAGTTGTCCCTTTCCAGACCCTGCATGCCTCCTTCTCTAGGACTTCATTTGGCAGCTTGAACTCAGCTCCTTGAAGTGTAAACTCCACGTCCGCTGATGTTTGCTCCTAGCAGTCCAGCAGAACGAAAACAACCTCATGGTGAGTTCACTAGTGCAAAAGCAAGGAGTTGATCAGGCACTTGAGGTCAATGGAGAAGACACAAGCAGGTCTGCAAATAAGGTTTTCAAATGCGAAAGGACAAATTTGTGGCTTTAGAGAAGCCACGTGGACAGAGCAACTCTCAGACAGAGACACTTAACCTGTCCCTCAGAGGGAGAAAATACACGGGAATCTGCAGAAAAGGGCTCCACACCCCAGCAAATAAACACCACCTTCACAATCATAATCAGAATAGGCAAACAGCCTATGAGTTATGGAAGAAAAGAGCAATCAGCACAGAAAGTTACATCTCGGGGATCAGGGACCATCCACCTAAAGTGAGAACTGCCCAAAGGCAGTTTGAGTTAAGTCATTTCTACAACAGACATTTGAATGAGGTAGATAAATTTGGGTGTTCTCTTGTCTGGAAAGATGAAGGCTGCTGCGAGGTGGGTGATAAGGTAATGTTAGTATGGCCTTACAAAAAATCCTACGTTCTGCCTGTGGTGGAGGCATTCAGCACACCAGTAAAGGGAAGAAACATAATGGGAATGAAGATACAGAAATGGGAGTAGAAACAAAATTAAGAGTAAAATAATTGTATTTCAGAGGAAGATTGCATAATTTCCATAGTGGACTTCTTGAAGAAAAAGCACATTAAATCACAAATCCAATAGAGCAAGTCCTTAAAATAAAATCTCATCAAGGGCGACATATAATTAAAACATAACAACTATTTTGCCTACACTTAAGAAGGAAAACGTGTCTAGCTGTGAGTTTACTAAGGGGCTCCTGGGCATCAAAACACTAAAGCAAATCTTATTTAAACACATTCATTAAGTACCCTGGGACAAAGAGAGAGACCACTAACAGTGTTCAGGGATGCAATTCAATGCGGAGGACACAAGGAAGAACTGGACACCAGAAGGGACCGGTTTATCTTGAAAACTATGTTTTAAAAGTGATAAAATTCAACAAGACATGCAAGCTCCCACACTTTGGAAAAGTTTACTCTGACTACCTTCTATCTACTGCCAGATGCTTAAGAACAACAAAAGCAGAAAGGGGCCTGGCTACAATCCCAGCTGATAGCTACCAGTGTGGACTGGTAAGGAAAGAGTCAAATGTAATCCCAGGAAGCATCAAGACAGCCAGGACTCATCTAAGCCATGATGTTTCATTTGCAGCATGCAGAAATTCAACCAGCTCCCCTGTTCAAGGACAAGGAAGGGACATTCAGTGGATCAGGGGAATGGGGAGATGAAGGCAGCGCTGGAACAAGGACAAGGAAGGGACATTCAGTGGATCAGGGGAATGGGGAGATGAAGGCAGCGCCATGCAGGGCTGCTTGTAGAGCACAGCAGAGAGTCTCCGCACATACATCACTGAAAAAGCAAACACTGGCGAGAAAAAGATCTACTGATCTTTTGAGGTCCCTTCCAACCCCTAACATTCTGTGATTCTGTGATACTGATTTTAAACACCTCTTCCAACACAGAAGCAACTGGTATAAACTGGCCATGACTACGTTCACCTGGGCAATTGCAGACAAGATCCTAACCATCAGAGCAAATGGGTTTTGAAGGATCTTCTCGTGGGATTATAGGGCTGGAGAGACCCTCACTAGGATTATAGGGCTGGGGAGACTCACAGCAGGGGCTGGTCACTGCGTGGACAGGACTCGACATGGGCACGCTTGCAGTGCTGCGGGCAGGAGTCAGTGACCTTGACAGCAGCTTCTGATCATTCTTGAATTAGAAGTAATTCTAATCTTACTGACTGAGTTAAGGAAGGATTTGAGGATCTAAGCTCTTGAGGGGAAAAAAGTAAGCCCAGGGCTCCCAGTTTGCTCATGGGCAGTCAACATCAGAAGCTGTGCCCACAGAGGCACTGGTCACTCCTTGCTTCGTATCAGCCCCACAGACGTTCAAGGGAAGGCAAATCTCCCGTCCTCACTCACCTTGTCAGCGGGTCTAACTCCACTTCTGTACCCAAGTAAAAGCAGCCTCATGCCCTCAAAACTCTGCCATCCTTCACCTATGATCTCCCAGTTCTATATCTGCACCTGCTCAGGAAATATAAGTGCCAGGTTTGTGCAGTTTGTGCTGTGAGCATAGGAAGAGGGAAGCGAGGAAGCTACAAAGGTGATGAAGGGAGTGGAACATCTCCCTGGTGAAGAAAGGCTGAAGGAGCTGGGGCTCTGCAGCTTGGAGAAGAGGAGGCTGAGGGGTGACCTCATTCATGTTTATAAATATGTCAAGGGGGAGTGTCAGGAAGATGGAGCCAGGCTCTGCTCAGGGATGTCCAATGACAGGACAAGGGGCAAAGGGTACAAGCTGGAGCACAAGAGGTTCCACCAAAACACAAAGGAAAACTTTTTCCCTGTGAGGGTGACAGAGCCCTGGCACAGGCTGCCCAGGGAGGTTGTGGAGTCTCCTTCTCTGGAGACATTCAAAATCTGCCTGGACGTGTTCCTGTGTGACCTACTGTGGGTGATCCTGCTCTGGCAGGGGGTTGGACTAGATGATCTTTCAAGGTCCCTTCCAACTCTCAACATTCTGTTATTTTGGGATTCTGTGAAGCTCTGCTGCACCTACCCTGGGGCACTGGACATCAGGTTGATCCTCCCCAACAGCCACAGAACACACCTTGATGCTGACACAGGGAAGCAGTTTCCATACACGACTCTGAAGCAATTCCTGTTTGACCAGTGACATATAAACCACAGTCATCTTACCCTAATGCTGCTTCTGTGCTACCACCATGAAGTTTCCAGGCAAGTATCTCTCAGATGCTATGAAAAAAATTAAGACTGCTTGAAAACGGATCTCAAATTCCACCAAATTTTAGCAAGGACCTTAAGGACTCCTCACTGAAACCATTCAAGTGAGCGTCTGAATTAAGTTTCAAGCTCATCTTAAGCACAACTCAATGTCTGGGGATAATTTACAAGTTTTGCTCAAAGCCTAAAATCTGTATCTATTACTGCAAAGAACTACTTTATTGTCTCCTTTTCTGCCTGGCGTACCTCCCATCAGATACCTTATCTAAGAGCTGAGCTTATGATGAGAGGAATGCTTTCATTTTACCTGCAACCCATCTAATTACAATATTGCCTCCCATGAAAAGATGTACCGCTCAGACAGTTCCACAGACTGCCCTAAGTCAGTATTGTTTGCGTTATTGATCCTTTTCGTCCCGCACTCCTCACGGCTATATGAAGACAATTAAATTCATAAACTTTAGAAAGATTTACACGGGGTAGATTCAGTTTCTTAAATGATGATCAGAGAAAGTATTACCTCCAATTAGACAATGCAATCAAACCTTTCAGGAACCCAAATGAACAAGTCATGAAAACCCTTTGAGAGAAGGCAGCCGGGACGAGATGGCGTTCACTTCAAACGCTCTGACTGGATCCTTTACCCCCTTGTTCATAGAACAGGATCTTCCCAGAGGAACCTGTAACTGTCTCTTTAGTTTATGGACAACTGCAAATTCAAGAAGGCTCCTCGCAGCACACATCTGAGATACACCCATCCAACCATTCTAAACACAAAACCACCTGGTATCCCCTCCTGAATAACGTGGCAGGACGAGCTAATAGACTCCAAATATTTCAGGACTAGATACATCTTCCTGCCCATACAACCATTGTCATTGAAGTGCTTTGCAACAGTAAAGGTTGCCCTTAAATTCTTTTCTCACCTTGTTTTAGAAGATGCTGCTATTGAAGTACTTGCTCCTTTGTTTAAATTAAATGTAACTAAAAAATAAAAAGACATTACTCTATTTCTATCTTTCAATATAACTGCATTGAAGGATGTTACAATTTTACAAATCTGCTAGTGGAAAAGATCATAAATTTGAAAATATTTACTAATCTATGGTTCTGGTTCAGCTTTTAAAATAAATTACTTTAAACATTACAAGAAAGAATATTCTGTATTTCCATATTTCAGTTCTCTATAATCGATCTCAAAGCACTTTATGAAGCACCAAGCAGGCCTCGGCGCTTGTCTAATTTCAATCACAAAATCAGCTTCAGCAGGTTCTAGAATATTACAGATATCAGAATCTGGTTACCTTTTTCTTCTTCATTTTCTCTGTTCAGTTCGGTATAAACTGGCTTTTCCTGCCGAAAGAACACAAAATGCATTTCAGGAGACAAACAAAGAACAGAGCCAAGATACCGTTTTTTCGGTGATCATTGATTAGCTCAGTTTTACAGAGTACTGCGAGATTATTACAAGTACCTGTAATATTCAACCTGGCCTGATTCATAAGAAGATTATGAATTGAAAACATTATCTCATTACAGGCTCCTGTGCAAAGTTCTCTAATTAACACTCCCTGCAGAAATGCTGCCTAAACTTGCTTGATTCCAGAATGAAAGGAAAGAAGCCTTGCTGAAATGGTTTTCTCTACCTGAACCAGCATGATTACACTGGTGTCTGGATAAACTAATAACCAAAGAAGGCAATTCTGGAATCTTTCCAATTTTTTACCACCAGAGGCTCAGACCATTTAAATTTCAATTAGTTTTAAATTAAGAAAAAGATAACTGTGTATTACAGCATTTAAATATCCCTATCAATACCCAGGATCAAATGAGAGGTGCCAGTCCCAGGTAACGACACGTATGGAAGTCATGAATGATGCCAAATAAACAGAGCCCAAATACCACACCAGCACTCTCGAAATAAAACTCTTCACCATACGGATCTGATTATGCCAGCTCCCCCTGGTTATTTGAGCCTCCTCACTGTACAAGGTACAACTTGTTATTTGCAGTCCTAAAAGTTGGGATATACCATAAATAAAGACACATCTTGCTGGTTGCGGTGTTGTTTACTCTCCCTTCCTAAATTCAAGGTGATTTTTAAATCACTAATCCCTTGAAGACCAGTAATTATTACTCCTTTAGTACTAAAGCAAGTCAGGTCCACAGTAACTCCAAGTTTTCCTCCAGAGCAGTTTATAATCTAAGATAACTGTACAGTAGAAAATTCAGAACATAAGCGAACTGACGTGGTGATTCAAGGACAGAAGACAGTCTAGTCAAAGTCTGAAATGGCCAGAGCCACAGGGCACAATTGTACTAGATTTCAAAATCAGATAAAATCTAAAAGGAGCTGAAACCTCTCCTTTCTTTTATTTTTTTGGGTTTTGAAACTGTGATTCCACTGAGGATCTTGACGTTCAACAGTTCTAAAAACCGTCAGCAAGTTTATTTGTCAAGGAAATGTAACCAGATGCAGTTTCAAGAGAAACAAGTCAGTTAAGGCTGCGAGGAGAATTATCTGGGAGAAGACTGGTGCTTGTGGCTTAGAAAAGAACAGCAGTGCAGACACATTTGTTACTCGGTTCAATTCTGGTGATGAGCTTGTAACCCGAAGCATGAAGCTTACTCATCACCTTCTAACTGCCTGCAGAGGAAATACCAGTGCAGGGATCCCAGCAGCATCAGCTCTGCCATTAACTTAACCAAGAGGAGTTCTGAGCAGACAGCAGATGTACAGTGTAATTTTCCTCACCATTTCTTTCCCCTCCAAACCTCTTCTGACTTGTTGTTCAATGAATTTAGCAGTTTTTTCTTCATCGTCGAGATCTTGCTTCTTCTTCCTCTCCTGTTCTTGTTGCCTGCGAATAGTCTCTGGGTCCCTGTCGATATACTGAATGTACCAGCCTTTTGGAGTCTCGTCAACCTTGCAAAGACCTGAAAAGTAAGATAAAGTAAGATTAATGCTCCCAAAAGCAAATGTGGGACAACGAAAATATAAGATCATTTTCACAGTCCATGTTCAGTATAACAATGCAGGTACTTTCACAGAATCACAGAATACTGGGGGTTGGAAGGGACCAGATCATCCAGTTCAATCCCTGCCAGAGCAGGATCACCCAGAGCAGGTCACACAGGAACACATCCAGGTGGGTTTTGACTGTCTCCAGAGAAGGACACTCCACACCCTCCCTGGGCAGCCTGTGCCAGGGCTCTGGCACCCTCACAGGGAAAAAGTTTTTTCTAATGTTTTTGTGGAACCTCCTATGTTCCAGCTTGTACCCATTGTCCCTTGTCCTGTCATTGGACATCCCTGAGAAGAGCCTGGCTCCGTCCTGCTGACACTCCCCCTTGACATGTTTATAACCATGAATGAGGCCACCCCTCAGCCTCCTCTTCTCCAAGCTAAAGAAAACCAGCTCCTTCAGCCTTTCCTCACCAGGGAGATGTTCCACTCCCTCCATCACCTTTGTGGCTGTGCTGGACTCTCTCCAGCAGTTCCCTGTCTCTCTTGAGCTGAGGGGCCCAGAACTGGACACAATATTCCAGATGTGGCCTCACCAGGGCAGAGCAGAGGGGCAGGAGAACCTCTCTCGACCTGCTAGCCACCTCCTTTCTAATCCACCCCAGGAAGCCATTGGCCTTCTTGGCCACGAGGGCACATTGCTGGCTCATGGCCATCCTGCTGCCCACCAGCACCCCCAAGTCCCTTTCCCCTACGCTGCTCTCCAGCAGGTCAGTCCCCAACCTCTAGCGGTACGTGGGATTGCTCTTTCCCAGGTGCAAGTCTCTACTCTTGCCCTTGCTGTATTTCACAAAATTTCTCACCGTCCAGCTCTCCAGCCTGGCTAGGTCTCACTGAACGGCAGCACAGCCTGCTGGTGTGTCAGTCACTCCTCTGAGTTTTGTGTCATCAAAGACAACGTACCTGTCACTGGCCTGGCAAAATTAACTTTAGTTAATACTATCCTTAGTATCTGTTTCTGCCCTTCAGCCAAATGGTTCTATTTGGAAATAGGCCAGAGTATATAA